TTGGACAACGGTTTGCATTAAATGAAATGCAAATGTGTCTGGCTAAAATGGTGCACCAATTTGAGTTTAAATTAGTCCCTGGATTTAAAATGGACTATTTTAAGGGTTCACCCGCACTATCACCTAAAACACTTATGTGCTATATTAAATCGAGAAATTAAACTGGCTACTTTTTATTATACATGCTATCACAATAAAAAATAATTTTTATAATATTAAATAAAATTATGTAATTAAGTAATTTCATGTTGTTAATAAACTTAATTTTTATAAATAGTGTTGAATTCTTATTAGTTTTGCATTTTATTTTTAAAAATATAAATAATATATTTTCTTATGCTATTAAAATACATTAGTTATATACCGGTGCATTTTTTACTGTACTCCCTTAGTGCATTTAACTATATGCTGTACTTCAACGACATAGTGATAATTTATTGTAATTAATTATAATACCAAGTTGGTTAAATAAAATATGTCTAAGTAATTAAAACTAAAAAGGATATTAAATTTAGTGACATTATTTTATTAAACTTAAAAATTAATTTTTCAATTTTATTAAGCTAGCATATAATTTGATTATTTTAAAGTATTCTCATCATAAGTTAATTATTCTGAATTATGTCCTGGTTGTATAATTTTATATAATTTAATTTTTTTTATCGTTTTTATATTTTTAAGACTATTTTAAAAAAGGCTTTAATACTGTACTATATAAATTAATGTTTGATGATATTCATTTAAACTTTAAAAATACTTATTAATACTAAATAATTATATTGGTACTATTTTCTACATAATTAATACAAATATACAGTGATTCCAACTTTAGATGGCTTCAATCAAAAAAAGATTAAACTATCAAGATGATTCTTAGTTTTATTGCCCATTTCACCAGAAATGCGGAATCTAGTGATTTCTCATCTGAATTGAAAATGATGAAGGTGTGACCTCTGGGTTGGAAACCGGCACATTTAATTAATGTATATGATTGCATCATAAATACAGTTTATTATGCTATTGAAAAGTGCAACATGCACATCAAGTCCTTGAATTTAAAAAATAAATCTTAATTTATCTAATCATATATTTATGCTTAAATGTGAATCCGATTGGCTATTATACTATTACATTGCAGTGAGCTATGACTATTTAAATAATTTAACATGACATGTTAATAAAATTCTGTTATTATCTTTTTTGTATTTTTAATACGGTAGATATCCTGGATGCACTTAAAATATAGTGAAATAAACCTATTTGATCAGTACATACTTCTTATTAATGTATCAAACAGATGAATAATGTTGATAAAATATTAATTATTATATAAAAACAAAGTTTTCTAGTTAACCTTATTAAAGTTTTCAAGAAATTTTAGATATTTTTAAAACTTTACTTTTATAATCATGGTTAATTTAACGTACATCTCAATATTTGTCATAATTATTACGGCAATCTATTTGTAAGTAATAAATAATATATTAAATTATTATTTTTTATGTCACATATTTAAAAATTATATAACATTTTATAATCAATCAATATAATATAATACATTACTACTTATATTTTACAAAAAATAGTTACCTCAAACGATACTACTCATACTGGACCAGACATGGGGTACCAGGGCCAAACTATGTTGATTTACGCCAGGTTGGGCAACACATACATGAAGTAGATGTGGGGTATCAACAAAAATATGGCCGCATATTTGGCATGTACACTTTCACGCAAAAAGTAATCAACATCAACGACGCCGATTTGCTCAGGGACATATTTGTCAAGGACTTTCACGTATGGCCACATCACTTGGACTTTCACCTTGGTACGTCTAAACTNGTTATAATTTTTAATAATATAAAAAGTTATCGTAAAAATGTGTTAGTTTTTGAGTATTAATTAGCTCATAATAATTACTCTAGAAATTTTAGTATATAAACTGAATTAATAATACTTTATAGTTATAAATAATTTATTGTTTAAATTTGTGCCCTAGGTGAAGCCATAGACATACGGAAACACGTAGGGGCTTTCGCTATGGACGTGATCTCCCGGTGCGCGTACGGCATAGACGTGGAGTCCATCGCAAACCCTAACCACCCGCTGGTACTCAACGCCCGCAAGATATTGAGTGTCGACGCGAGCTTTGGTATCATCGTGTCGGGGCTGTTCCCGGCGTTAGGACGGCTAATAGGCGCCGAACCCTTCGATATGAGCGCCTGTCGTTATTTCGACGACTTGACCAAAAAGATCATCGATGAACGCAAACTACATAATAATCATAAAAATAATAGTATTTGTAAGTATTAGTTATACAAAAAAAATCTAAATCATAATTAATGTTAAAACAATTATATTTTTACATTAATAGCCAAACGTCGCACAGATTTCATACAATTGATGATAGACTCGGAAAAGTCGGACAAAGACTTCGGATACGACTCTATCAGTGATGGCGAACCGGACGACAAAAGCACTGAACAGACATTTAAAAAGCCATCAGGGACATTGTCGATTGATGAAATGGTAGCCCAGGGAATCCTATTTTTCATCGCCGGCTACGATACTACCAGTGCCGCCCTAACCCACGCCATATACTACTTATCCCAACACCCGGAGTGTCAACAGAAACTGTACGACGAGTTGAAAACATGCGATGAGTTTACGTACGAAAAGTTGGTTCACTTGAAGTACTTGAATGCAGTCATCAATGAGACCCTACGACTCGCGCCGTCGTTTTTACGATTATTTCGGGTATGTGTTGAGGACTACCCCCTCGGAAATACAGGTAATAAATAATATTAAATTTTAGGATTTTATATTTACGTTTTTAGATTCACAAATCAATAATGTTAAAATGTCCCCTTTGAGTGGTTTTATAAATATTACAATGAACTATCGATTTTTTTATAATATTTTCTATTATCCAAACTGTAATTATATTTTTAAATATTTAATCAATTATCGTACATTTAAATTATATTTATAAATTAAGTTAACTAAAAAATTAAAATTTTAAAAATTAACCAAGGTATAGTTATATTATATAATGCACTAATATATTGTATTTTTTCAAATAATCTTTTAATAATATCATTTATTTATAGGTATTACAATACCAGCCGGTACTTTTATGACTGTTAGTACCTACACATTGCACCGGGATCCTAAATATTGGGACAACCCTACTGACTTCCTACCTGAACGTTGGATTCAACCTAAACACCATCCCTACGCCTATATGCCATTTGGTGGTGGACCTAGGTTATGCATTGGACAACGGTTTGCATTAAATGAAATGCAAATGTGTCTGGCTAAAATGGTGCACCAATTTGAGTTTAAATTAGTCCCTGGATTTAAAATGGACTATTTTAAGGGTTCACCCGCACTATCACCTAAGACACTTATGTGCTACATTAAATCGAGAAATTAAACTGGCTACTTTTTATTATACATGCTATCACAATAAAAATAATTTTAAGAATAATAAATAAAAATATGTAATTAAATAATTTCATGTTATTAATAAACTTAATTTTTATAAATAGTATTCAATTCTTATTAGTTTTGCATTTTTAAAAAATATAAATAATATATTTTCTAATGCTATTAATATACATTAATTATATACCGGTTCATTTTTAACTGTACTCTCTTACAATTAAGGATATAACGTGACAGTGGCAATTAAATATGTGGTTATCTTTATAATATATATAAAATTATAGATATAATCATCCGGGCTTATACCCAGGTTAGCGTCAGTTATGGCCAATGTTTACAAACTCAAGCATAACTAATACTTTACAGTGTATTTTGTTAATTCATATATTAATTCAATTTTTAAACATTTATTAATTATGCATATGATCTAATTAATATCAAAATATAATTTAATAAATATTTTTAAAACATTAAATTTTATCTAAAATAATTTAGTTTCATATAATATATTATAATACTGTACTACCTCATTTGGAAACCGGCACATTTAATTATTGTTTATGATTGCATAGTGAATTCAGTGTATTTTGATATTGAAAAGTGCAACATGCACATCGAGACCTTGAATTTAAAATCATTATTGTTACTTTATCTTATCATATATTTAGGCTTAAATGTGAATGTGATTGGCCATTTCAAATACCATTACATAATGCTGATAAAATGAAAAGTATCGTATATAAACATTGTTTTCTAGTTAAATTCATTAAAATTTTTAAAAGGATTTATATATTTTTTAAAAACTTTAATTTTTAATCATGGTTAATTTAACTTACATCTCAATATTTATTATAATTATCACGGCAATTTATTTGTGAGTAATAAATAATGTATTAAATTATTGATTTTTATATATCATTTTATAGTCAATAAATATAATATTGACTTTATTATATACAAAATATATTGTATATATTTATATAAATAGGTATCTCAAACGATACTACTCATACTGGGCCAGACATGGAGTACCAGGACCAAACTATGTTGATTTACGTCAGGTTATGCAACCAGTACATGAAGTAGATGCGGGGTATCAACAAAAATATGGCCGCATATTTGGCATGTACACTTTCACGCAAAAAATAATCAACATCAACGACGCCGATTTGCTCAGGGACATATTTGTCAAGGACTTTCACATATGGCCAAATCACTTGGACTTTCACCTTGGTACGTCTAAACTGGATAAGAGTCTGTTTTTTATGCCCGGGAATGACGACTGGAAACGGCAGCGCTCTATACTGTCGCCGGTGTTCACTTCGGGTAAACTGCGGGCAATGATGGCTCACATATCGCACATTTCCGACAGATTTATACAAAGTTTGTCTCAACACGAAGTATCAGGTATAATTTATTTATTTTTTAGTTTAATATAATTTAATTAAGGTATAATTAGATTTTAAGTATTAGCTGTAAATGTTTATTAAAATAATAAAAAAGAATCAAATTATTTGTAATTACTTATTATAATGGGTAACTCATAACCCTTATTATAATATAATTATTATTTAATTTCTGATTGTTTAATTTTATTTATTATATTTATATTGATAATAATTATTTATACCAATCTTAGTTATATTTATAAATAAACTGTGTTATAATTTTTAATAATATAAAAAGTTATCGTAAAAATGTGTTAGTTTTTGAGTATTAATTAGCTCATAATAATTACTCTAGAAATTTTAGTATATAAACTGAATTAATAATACTTTATAGTTATAAATAATTTATTGTTTAAATTTGTGCCCTAGGTGAAGCCATAGACATACGGAAACACGTAGGGGCTTTCGCTATGGACGTGATCTCCCGGTGCGCGTACGGCATAGACGTGGAGTCCATCGCAAACCCTAACCACCCGCTGGTACTCAACGCCCGCAAGATATTGAGTGTCGACGCGAGCTTTGGTATCATCGTGTCGGGGCTGTTCCCGGCGTTAGGACGGCTAATAGGCGCCGAACCCTTCGATATGAGCGCCTGTCGTTATTTCGACGACTTGACCAAAAAGATCATCGATGAACGCAAACTACATAATAATCATAAAAATAATAGTATTTGTAAGTATTAGTTATACAAAAAAAATCTAAATCATAATTAATGTTAAAACAATTATATTTTTACATTAATAGCCAAACGTCGCACAGATTTCATACAATTGATGATAGACTCGGAAAAGTCGGACAAAGACTTCGGATACGACTCTATCAGTGATGGCGAACCGGACGACAAAAGCACTGAACAGACATTTAAAAAGCCATCAGGGACATTGTCGATTGATGAAATGGTAGCCCAGGGAATCCTATTTTTCATCGCCGGCTACGATACTACCAGTGCCGCCCTAACCCACGCCATATACTACTTATCCCAACACCCGGAGTGTCAACAGAAACTGTACGACGAGTTGAAAACATGCGATGAGTTTACGTACGAAAAGTTGGTTCACTTGAAGTACTTGAATGCAGTCATCAATGAGACCCTACGACTCGCGCCGTCGTTTTTACGATTATTTCGGGTATGTGTTGAGGACTACCCCCTCGGAAATACAGGTAAT